TACATAATATCTTGGATGTAGCTCATCTTGCAATCACACATCACAAACAACTTCAGGCCAAAATGGTGTCGCTTGGGTGGAAACTGATACTGCCTCGACACAGCACTATACTTCTACGAATACAAATATTCTGGTAGTATAGATAGAAGAGGGTCCTGAATTTCTCATGTAGGTTGTCAAACATAGCGGATTTTCTTCGTCGAGTCACTGTACCCCTCTAGATTATCATAGACGTGGAGCAAATGTAAAATATTTGTGAAACTGTTTTCTGAGAGTAATTTGTGAAATATTGAAGTGGCAGTCTGTACCAGGTCAGTGGTCCAGTACTCTATTTATGAGTGGCAGGGTGGCAACGTGTGGGCTGGGGGTCATCTGGGTCATCATCGCTGTTTGTGTCATCCATCCCTGCAGGAGAGGCAGGCCCAGGGGGTGGGTGTAGGGTCATAAGATGAACCAGGTGTGGGTGAGCGGAGTAAGGGAGAGCGTCGAGATAAAATGCTTATGCCTGTGTTGAGAAGGGGGGTTTCAGAGGCAGGTGAGGAGCATAGGGTTGGTTGACGCTCATGATTACATGGAGAGAGAGAGAGAGAGAACGGCGAGACAATGGTGTCTTCCCGCTTCTTTTTTTTTAGTTGGCCCAATCTCACTACTTCTCCTAATGCTGATGCCAAGAAGGTCCTTGAACCCAATCTTGATCATCACCTTCACACTGAGTCACATATAGTTCCTCATTTTCCTTATCCCCTTACATATTTTCTTCACTTTCACTACTAGTACTTCCCTAAATGTAATCCAGGTCTGTGCGTCAAATCACTTTCATCACACGTGGCTTCATTATTGATATCACTACCACTCATAAAAAATAAGACGGTTTCAAAAAACAATAAAACAATTCCCATTTATTTTGCATAATAGTGAAGCCCAAAACTGCAGGATGTGTATACTTAATACACATTCTTGACCAACAACGCCTCTCAAATATAGAACAAGTATTCTCTTCCATGACCATCAAAAAGTTAATAAATACTGCATTGTAACTCCACAAGTAACCCAATAACCCTCTCCCATCCCTCTCGCCCCAAACTCCCTTACCCTCCTCAGTCCCCATAACACCACCCCCCCCCCCACACTTGTGATTTCTTCAGATTCCCGAGTTATGCTTTTGACTGTAACATCTTGACTGGGGTTATCACAGGGGGTATAGGAACACCTTTCCCTGACTGAACTACTGTACTGATTTTTTAATGCATTCAACACCACTAATCAGCATATCACCTGTTAACAACTTTTCTTTTTTAATTGGTTGATCAACACAACCTTCTTTCTGTTTCTACCATATCTTTATAAATGGTACTTAACATATATCATCCAATTATCACCACGTGAAACAGAAATTTTTCATTATGGCAGGACACCGTGAAATCATCCTTTTGAACAGGGAACTTTGGCATGTTAAATTAAGATGATCTGACAAAAACCCCTTCATTAACAAAGGTGAAGGGAAAGGAGGGGTGAAACAGTCCCTCCACAGTACACCCATGCCTGTGGTAATTTATAAATTATTCTAAAAAATATCTTAATAAAATGTGCTTAGGGTAAATATTTAGAGATTTTAACTTGCATAAGCTGGTGGCTATACATACTGTATGTATGTTACTGTAAAAAATGAGCACACATTCCATTATATATATTTATATTATGGATATACATTATACAGAAAATAATAACATAAAATATATTAGTAATGCTTACCCCAGTTGCATGCATTGATCAACTATGGTGATCTCTTGGAGTCAAGGAAAAACTATATGATTCAGATAGATAGAGTGAAGGACATATAAATGAAAGGAATAGATATCCAGGAAGCAGCAGTCTGCATGAATGAATGGAAGGCACAAGAAAAAGGAAAATAAATGTCCGGTGTGTGTTAACCCTTGATTACTTCCACCCCGTATTAAGCAATAAGTGGCTTGAAAACTAAGAAAATTTCAATACTCTCCTGAGATATATATATATGTAAACAATCATAGACATTTACCTGAAAGCAGCCAAATGAGCATAGTACGCAGGGCTTGGAAGGGAGACAGATCTTGTACAACGAAAGTACAGATGGCATAAACTGTAGGTTAGCATCTGTATATCATCCATTGTCATATCATTGTCATCCCACAGAATATGGTAATGAGTTGGTTTGCTGGTACCTTGAATACCCTGGAAATAATAAATTAATTCAATTAAAAGTTGAAAAAAACTGCTCACACTGTTCCTTTTATATACCCTTTAATGCTTCCTCTGGGTGGTTACAGAGGTTTAAGATCCGGAACAAGATCACCAATATAAACATTGGTGGTGAAGAAGCGAGTGCTGACCGTGCTGCGGCTAGGGAATTTCCTCCGTTTTTACGTGAGATTATGGAGGAAGGACAATACACCGACGACCAGGTGTTTAACATGGACGAATCTGGTCTTTTCTGGAAAAAGCTACCTTCCAAGTCCTTCGTTGTAAAGAATGCCAGCAAGATTCGGGGCCGGAAGATGCAGAAGGAACGCATCACCGTCCTGTTTACCACCAATGCCTCCGGTACCAGTAAGCTCAAGTTATCGGTGATCCACACAGCATGCAAGCCGCACGCCTACAAAACCATGGACATGACCAAGCTAAATGTCCACTGGCTGACCGCACGTAAGGCGTGGATGTTCTCTACACTGTCCCTCACCTGGTTTGATGACTATTTTGTTCCCGATGTAAAGAAATTCTGTGAGCAACAGAATGTGCCATTCAAGATTGTGTTGCTGCTGGACAACGCACCAGGACACTCGCCCCTACTGTTAGATCATCACCCCAACGTAAAAGTGGTCTTCCTTCCTCCCAACACTCCGTCTATATTACAGCCCATGGACCAAGAGTTAATCTGTAATGTAAAAGCTGCATTCTCTACGAAAAAATTCAAACTCCTGAACGACTACACCAACACCAGGGAAGAGTTGCATAACCTGAGTGACACCACCACCGATAGCAAGAGCGAAGAAGATGAGGATCAACAGTTGGCACAGCAAAAAATACTGTTCAAACAATTCTGGAGAGTATTTAACATCAAGAAAGCTGTGGACTTCTTGGTGGAGTCATGGGATCAGCTGTCTATTGCTACAATTCGTCACGCATGGAGACATGTGTTACATGGAATACCAGGTGAGAGGAGGAGTCAATCTGTGACTGGTGAGGTTCAGATTGTTGCAGTAGCAGTGGACCTTGCCAGAGAAGCTGCGCAGACTGTTACAGTTCCAGGCTTCTCCGAGACCACCAACGACGACATCCTGGAGGTGATAATGGAACCTGATGTGACTACCGAGGAGATGGTAGATGATGATGATGACGACGTCAGTGAAGAGGCAGGTGGTGCGTCATCCCAAGAAGAACAACACTTATCCCATAGTAATGTTAGGGGTGCCATCGAGTGTATCGAGAAAGCCAAGCTCCTCCTTTCCGACGACCCTGACGCAAACAGGTATGAAATCTTCACTACCCAGCTGTTGCAGACTATGGAGCCCTACATCAAGGTGTATCACGACAACATCAACACCAGCCGTCAGCAAAGCATAACAGATTTCTTCGCACTAGCGTAGCTAGGGGGGGGCGGCACTTTTGGGTCTGCTCATCACCCATATCTGCAGCTACTGGAGACGTTAATCCATCCCTTTGTATCGGCGGCAAGTTAATCCTTGTCGTGTCTGACCTAACACCTGACCCACATCATCACGGCCACGTCATGAGCTACACCCTTGCTATGAGGCCCCCCGCCACACACACAACCTGTAACCTGTTGAGGATTAAGGAAACAACTTCAAACAAGTACGCCAGTGAGCTCATGTGGTGTGGGTCTGGTGTTAGGTCAGACACGACGAGGATTAACTTATAAAGTTTAAGTATGTTTGGTGTGTATTTAAAGCATACTATATTTGAGTATGTGAAAGTACAGTAATATTATAATGGTACACAAACTATTTAATGTATATATATATATATATATATATATATATATATATATATATATATATATATATATATATATATATATATATATATATATATATATATATATATATATAAGAGTGAGTCACTGTGCAATATGTATTTTTTGTGGGGGCACGGGGCGGCAAACTCAAGGGCCGCCCCGGGCGGCACTCACTCTAGCTACGCCACTGTTTCTTCGCCCGCAACCCACCACAGCCAGCCCAAGCCAGTGATAGTGACAGTGAAGATGACTTTGAGGGATTTGTCAGGGAAGCCCTGACAACTGTAAGTGACAGTGATGGTGATTCACCTAGTAATGGTGATTCACCTGAGGGCCAGTAATCTGCCCTCTTCCTCGGAACCAGCCTCCATCCCCGTATGCCGACCCATCTCTTCTACTAACGTAAGTGTTCCACATAACTTTTAGTTTTCCTAACCTAACCTTTATTTTTCCTATGTTAACCTTTATTTATCCTAACCTAACCTCTTCTATATTATTTGTTTTTTCATACCATCATAAAGATAAGATAAAATTTTTACTACAACATAGTTGTGTGTCGTCAAAAAGTGGAGTTTGGGGGTCGGCCCGGACTCTTATTTCAATTAATCCCATATGTTATGTTATTCACTTTACGCGTTCCTCACTTTACGCGGGACCCTGCGGGTTACATTAACCGCGTAAAGTGAGGGTTGACTGTATATATATATATATATATATATATATATATATATATATATATATATATATATATATATATATATATATATATATATATATATATATATATATATATATTTCATGTAAATCCACAATGAAAACGTGGATAAGATAAATCTTGATAAAATCACACGGGAAAATGGAAACAACGGAGCACCTTAGCTTTCGTCTTTATTCAAGACATCTTCAGAGGCAACTGGATTACATGGACAGAGAGAGGCTTAATTATACAGGGTGACCTTAAAAACATGAGGTCAGGTCATAATGATGT